CTCGTGCGCGCGCGCTCAACGCACGGTCGTGTGTATCGCTACGTACTAAATTGTGAATTAAAGCAAAAAGAAACTGAAATAAACAAAAATGGTGCAATGTAAGAAGTGTAATCTTTTTGTATCCTTAGTTAAAGACGACATAGTGAAGTGTAAAGGTGAATGCGGTAATGTTTACCACAAAAAGTGTGTAAACAAAAAGTTTTTAAATAATGCTTTCTGCGACGACTGCCAATTAAATAAATGCAGTCCTAAACAATCTGCAGATGACGGAAAAATTACTTTAAACCCGAGGGAAGAATCTGGAGAGAATGTATTGGCCGAGGTCAATAAGAAATTAGCGGTGATTTATAACCTGGAAAAGAAAATAGAAGACCTGGCCAATAGCGTCGAATTTTACGCTGATATGTATCAAACACTAATGGATTACAAAGAAGAATCGCAGAAGAAAATTAAGGCTCTAGAACAGAAGAATGTGTATCTGGAGAAATGCAATAAAGCATTAGAAGAAAGAATACAAGATCTGGAGGTAAGAGATAAAGAAAAAAACATCGAAATTCATGGATTAGAGAAACACGGAAGCGAAAACACCAAACAAGTAGTTAGAAAACTGGCTGAGAAACTAAAATTGGACCCAAATGATATCGAAGATGCGCAGAGGGTAGGTCAAGAAAAGCCGGATGATACAAAGCCCAAGACTGTGCTGGTCACGCTGTGGTCTAAGTCTGCCCGAAATAACTGGATGCTGGTAAAAAAGGAATCTAAGATATATAATGACAAGGTTTATGATAACGGCAGTGAAAGGAGAATCTATATTAACGAAGATTTACCAAAATATAAGCGACAACTTCTGTGGACGGTTAGGAATAAACTTAAACCAAAAGGTTTTCAGTACATATGGGTCCAAAACTGTAATATCTTGGTTAAAAAGAATAGCGAAGAGAAGAAGATCTACAACATTCGATCGGAAGACGATTTGAAAAAGTTCGACGAATGTACGTAAACAAACGCGTACTTAACGCGGCGCGTAACACACTAGGTGATTTTAGCAGCAACATTCGATCGTATAGATAACATATCCAGTGACATAAATTTTAAAAGATACTCTGATATAACGGCCTTACAGATGGACTTATCCCGAGATTCAATCACCACTAATATACTACACCTAAACATAAGATCTCTTCGAAAGCACTTTAATGAATTAATAGTATTGCTGGATAAAATTAAATATAATATAGACATACTTATATTAAGCGAGATAAATATAAAGAAGGAAGAACTACCGTTATACCAAATAGTGGGATATAATACTTTTATTCATTCGAGGGAAACCAAACGTGGAGGAGGATTATTAATTTATACCAAGAATGCATTGAATTTTCAAGCTGCAATAGTAAACACAAAGGGGGTAGAAACAATACATGGACAACTGGAGCACGGGAAAAAGAAAACTCATATTTTTGCGATTTATAGACCACCTTCTAATAATAAAATAATATTTATCCAGCAATTAAAGGCATTAATAAAATCTATTCCATCATGTGACAGCGTAATTGTGATCGGTGACACCAACATAAACACCTTAAATGACACCTCGAACCCCGCCGTAACAAGGTACAAAAACGCCCTGTGTGAATGCGGCCTGCTGTGTGCAATACCGAGCGAAGAGATAACGCGCGAGGCGATCGTGGACGGCCGGCTCGAGACTTCGTGCTTGGATCACATCTGGGTGCGAGCGAGACGGAGCGAGTGCGACGCGAGCGCGTACGTCCTTGAGGCGCGCATTGCGGATCATCACGCAGTGGGTGTATCGATGAACTTATGTGTGAGTGGTAACCAAAATCAGTGTGTGAGTGCCAATAGCAAAAGTAATAATAGTGTGCGCGAAGTGATTTGTGACAAAACTGTGAGACAAAAACTGAGTGAATATGACTGGCAGCAGCTACTTAATATATCATGTCCGATAGTATTGTATAAGACTATGTGTAGTGTATTTGAACAGATTTATAGGGAAAGTACAATTAAGGTTAAAGTAGGTAATAAGAAAACAATAAGACAGCCATGGGTAAATAGAGAATTGTATACAATGTTATTGCGCAAAGATAGTTTATTTAAAATATGGAAAGCGGATCCTCAGAATATGAATAAGCGACTAGATTACACAAAATTTAGGAATAGAGTAAATAAACAAATTAATGATGCAAAGAATAAATATAGACAGGAACAAATTACAAAATGTAAGGGAGATTTTAGGAAAATATGGGCGAATATAAATACATGGTTAGGTCGAAATAAAAATAGCTTAGATGAGGTTATATTAAATCATTTAGGAAGGACAGATAGTATACAACATATTTGTACACAGTTTTCTAAAACATTTACGGAAGAAATAAAAGCAATTAAACATAACTGTAACTCAAAATTCTTAGACAGAAATACATATGTACAACCGAGTGAGGTGAGTTACAGATATAAAAAAGTCACTCCGAGAGATGTAGAAAAGGTCATAGAGAATTTGTCTTCTGAAACAGCACCCGGTCCAGACACAATTAGAGCGCAGGATATTATATGTATAAAAAAGCGAATAAGTCCGGTTATAGCTTTATTTATAAACAAAACACTAACTACTGGCACCTATCCTGACATGTTAAAAAATGCAATTATCCGTCCTATTTACAAATCAGGTAGTCATCTTGAATATGTAAACTACAGACCTATTGCAATACTGTCTGTTATTGATAAAATCACAGAAAAAATTATTGTAGGTCAGATTAGCGGGTTCTTAGAACAACATAAAATAATATGTGACACACAACATGGTTTCCGCAGAGGACGAAACACTGTTTCTGCTTTGTTAGGCTTTTCAGATTACATAAATAAGTCGCTAGACTCTGGGAAACAGGTTATAGCTCTTTTTATCGATTACAAAAAGGCATTTGACACATTAGACCATGACATATTACTACAGGCAATGGATGATTGTGGAATACGCGGGCCCACAAATGAATGGTTTAAAGACTATCTAACCAATAGGAAAATAAGTACAATGATAGCTGGTAAGACAGGGAAAGAGGCGGATGTCGACTTAGGTGTGCCGACTGGATCTGTATTCGGGCCAGTAGGATATATAATGCATGTGAATAGTGTGTCAAATGTCATCGAAAAATGTAAGGTGTTCATGTACGCTGATGATATGTGCCTTATTTATGCATCCAAAAATATATTGGAAGCCCAAAAATTTATACAGGAGGATTTTGAAAATATTAGCAAATGGGCACACGATAACGGAATTATCTTGAACACAACAAAAACAAAAGTTATGCATATACACTCCCCGTACAATCATATTTCTAAATCAGTAGATAAGGAACATATCACAGTAATAGGACACACATATGAATGTCTACATCAATGGTTCCCAACCAGTGGTCCGTGGACCACCAGTGGTCCGCAGAAGCCAAAATATGGTCCGCGAATGAATTCTTTAGCGGGCGCGCCCGCTAAATTCGGTGAGCCGTCGGTCGCCGCGCCGTGCACGCACACGCAGCCCGCTGCGCGCTACTTACAGGAGAGCGTTCAGAGCCTACGCTCGAGTGCACTCTAGGTCGTTCAGAGCCTCAAGGCTCGGTTGTCATATTCCATATATTTTCGAAGTATCTTGTGTCAGTCGATGACAGTTGACTTGACTCCAAAGTTTTTTATGTTCCAATTTGACGTTAAACAACCGACCTCGTTCCGAGCCTTTGAGCGAGTTAAAAAACAACCAAACAACTACACTTAGGTTGTGAACGTGGCCCAGCGCGTTAAAGTGCGGGTGGAGGGGGCGCGGTACGCGGGGCCGGCCGCCCCCGCGCGTCTCTGCGAAGACGATACAACGTCATTTGTTTTACCTATTTCAGTGTCAGTAATAACACGTAATATTACTTAACTGTGTGAGGAAGTTAATCATTCATTTATTAGTTACCTATTACTGATCGTTGTTCTTAAATTGATATCTTGAAATAGTTCGTAAATACAGGTGAGTGAATATTTTATTTCGATAAACCTTTCTCAGGGTATTAAAAATGATGATTTTCGGGTCGTTATCAAGTAAACGACGTTATCAATACGTATATGTATTATGTATATTTGTTTATTTCATTTTGCTGAATCGTACGTATGGCAAAGTAGTATATTTTTATTTATTCATTTTTGCAAAGAAGCGTAAACTAAATTTTTGAATTTTTGGTGATTCATCGCGGGCTCGCGGTATTCGAATCCTTTTGCTGGTCACTAAATTTCTTTGTAATGTAAACTAAAACTACCTTTGCTATTATTTCAAAAATATTTTTATGTAAGCTAGCTTAGCACGATCATATTATAGAACTTGATCTTACGCTTTTGTTTTTTCGGTTTGTATTCGGTTTCATTTTTTTGTATCTTATTTTCAGAACATGGCGCCTAAGAGAAAATATGACAATAATTATATAAAATTTGGATTTACCTCGATAGAAAGTAACGGGGAAATAAAACCACAGTGCGTTATATGCGCAACCGTTCTCGCAAATGAAGCGTTGAAACCAGCAAAATTGAAACGCCACTTCGAAACGGTACATCCAGATTTATCTAACCGCCCGCTTGAATTCTTTCAAGGAAAATTAGAGGTCCTAAAAAAAATGAAACTCGGGCCTAGCGGCTCGAGATTTGCAACATCGGAAAAGTTATTAGTAGCGTCGTTTGAGATTTCTAAATTAATAGCACAATCTAAAAAGCCACACACAGTTGGAGAAACACTCGTAAAACCTTGTTTGATCAAAGCCGTCGAAGAAGTTTTGGGATTAGAGGCCAAGAAAAAAATACAAGACATACCTCTGTCCAATAACACGGTCAAAGCTCGAATTGAGCTTATGTCAAGTGATATAGAGGAGCAACTTGCGTCAAGAATAAAAAAATCGCCATTTTTCGCTTTGCAGTGTGATGAGTCGACCGACATTTCAAATTGTTGTCAACTACTTGTATTTGTTCGCTTTTTAGACGACGACAACATAATTAAAGAAGAGTTATTGATTTCACGGGAACTGGACACAACATCAAAAGGTATCGACGTCATGAACTCAATATCCGAATTTTTCGAGAAACATAATCTTATGTGGGATAAACTCGCTGCCCTCTGTACCGATGGTGCTCCAGCAATGTTGGGATCACGTTCCTGGCTGGCGACATTAGTAAAACAGAAAAATCCTAATGTAATTACAACGCACTGTATCATACATCGCCAGGCGTTGGCTTCAAAAACTCTTCCTGGATGCCTCAATGATACACTAAAAATGGCCATAAAAATTGTAAATCTTATTAAAAGCAGCGCCTTAAATACACGACTTTTCAAAAAGTTATGCACTGAAATGGACTCTGATCACGAGACACTTCTCTTTCATACCGAAGTTCGATGGCTATCGAAAGGTAATATGCTGGGAAGATTATATGAACTGAGAGCAGAGGTTGAGATTTTTCTGGGTGACAAAAAAAATAATGATTTGTTGAAACAATTTACTAATCTGGCATGTCAGATGGACTTGGCGTATCTTGTGGATATTTTCACACATTTAAATAAATTAAATATACAACTGCAAGGTTCTGGAAATAAAAACTTAGAGAATGTCGCAAATATATTCATTTTTGAAGATAAACTTCGTGCTTTTATCTGCAAACTTCAATTGTGGTTACGTAAAATTGAAGAAAATAATTATTCTGCGTTTGCGACATTACAATCACTTGTGGAAGACAAAAAGTATGACGCTTTTACAGCAAATATTCAAGAAAACATTAAGACTCATTTACATATGTTGATTGATGAATTCAATCGTTACTTCCCAGAATATAACGAAGAAGCTAATCTTGATCAAAAAATGATTCGTAACCCTTTTAGCACGGACGCTAGTGAAGTTACAGAAGAAATCCAAGAAGAGCTCATTGAATTACAAAATGACAGAAACTGCAAGGATGCTTTTGAATCGAATTCACTTGAGTCATTTTGGTGTAAAAAAGCACTTTCTTATACTAAACTTCGAGAAATCGCCTTACGCTATTTTATCGTTTTCTCAACCACTTATTTATGTGAACAAGGATTTTCTGCTTTGCTGGTATTAAAAAACAAGGCGAGAAATCGTTTGAGAGTAAGTGATGATTTACGTGTGGCTCTGAGTAACAATATCAGTCCTAGGATAGCCGAACTCGTGAAGAAGATGCAAGCTCAGAAATCGCATTAATTTAAAATTACGAAAGTTTATTCTAAAATGTTATTATTTCTTTTTATGTAATTCATATTAGAGTTTGAATTAAAGTTTCAGTTTGATTATTACAGTTTATTTTACTACACTAAAATTTAGTTAATTAATAACTAAATAGTGGTCCCTGCCGAAAAAAACTATGTCAAAGTGGTCCCTGACCAAGAAAACGTTGGGAACCCCTGGTCTACATAGAAATAAACATAACTGCAGTTGTAATAAATTAGACTATGTACACAAATTCAAATACCTAGGCCTAACAATAGATACAAATTTCAACTGGAAATTGCATGTTAACGACATTTGTAATAGACTAAGATCTGTATTAAGTAAGTTGTATCAATTAAAAAATGTACTGAACAAAAAGACTCTCAGATTAGTTTACTTTGCACTTGCAGACTCGCTAATAAGTTATGGACTACTTGTGTATGGTCGAACATTCATATCATATATAAAAGATATTAAAGACATACAAATAAGACTGATAAAGTTCCTAGTAAGTAAAAATGTTAAAGATAGTTGCAAGAAAGAGTATGATAAGTTATTTCCTATTTGTAAAATTATACCCATAGATAAAAAAGTAGATTATTTAGTTGGTTTGCAATATTATTATAGTGACGAGTTTAAAATTAATGTAAAGAACAAGTACAACACACGTAGGGTTAGAGAGAATAAACTAATATTACCAGAAATAAAAAACTATTATGGCAAAAGAACATCTGAATACTTAGTTCCTAATGTATTTAATAGAATAGATTTACTGAGAGAAGAAGGAAAAAAGTTTACGAAAGGATCTCTAAAGTTAAAATTAAAAAGATTTATATTAGAGTATTAATAAGAAATAACATTGTTATGTTTTGTTTGTTTTTTATTATTATTTTCATAAAGATTTGTTTGTTTTTTATTATTATTTTCATAAAGATTGTTTTATATTAGGTATATAAACTATGTCGAAGTAAGTAATAAGGGATATTATATGTGATGGGATATTTAAATGCTAAAGAAAAAACTATGTAAGAATTACTAAATTCACTGTTTTGTATTAAACTGTACAAAGAGCGCCTCTCGCCATCAAACGTTACAGTTTGGCGAGTTTAGTTTTTAAGGACACAATTTGTAATAAGTTCACTGAATAAATTATTTAAAAAAAAAAAAAAAAAAAGTGACGTGCACGCCGGCGCCGCTCAACTGATGATTCCTTGACTCCGTCGAGTTCCAAGGGGTGCGCCAGCGTTCCAATGACACCCTCGATTGCGTCATTTATTATATAGATAACATACTTTTGCCCGTTGTTGCCGTGTTTTTATACAACATCTTCCTTTGCAGTTTAGCTTCAAAGCTATTTCTTGCCATGCCTCTTTCGTTCGTTGTCAGGCATGCGATGTCTGAACGTGTCCTGTTGCAAGCCAAGAATTCCCTTCCAAACTCTCTAGGATGAAACTTAGATGAATTATTAATAAATTTTAAAGTCTCAAATGTATTGATTTTTATTACAATAAATTCTAAAGTCAAGTATTATGATCCCCTATACTTATTAGACTCTTTGATTATGACATTATTTAGACAGCGCGTCACTGCGCATGTTACAAAATTGTACAAAATGGACAAAGACATCGTGATTCAACCCAAAGAGTAAGTATAGGGGAAATTCAACCTCAAAATGTGTTTGTAAAAATGTAAAATATTTATTATATTTATTTAATTCACCAATAGTTAGATACTTACCGTAAAATTACGTAAAGATAGACGTTTATATATTTATTATATATTTTTTAAACCGATAAAACTCGCAGTCGGAGATAATCGATTATGATTTAAAGAAAAATGTTGAAAGCCTTAATTCGTCGATGAAACAATGGCGGCAACTTACAGCCCATAGATTTATAAATATAACATACATACTGTAATATATTTAGGTTTACCCACATAAGATTTTATTAAGTAAGATAACGTATAAATAAGCTTACAGAATTGTAACCATCAGTTCGCAATATACGCTTGCTATAAGTAGACGTTGCCTTATTTTTACTCCCGACACTTCAGTGGCGACGAGGACCACAATTGGTGCAAAACATTGAAGTTCGTCTACCATGTCTACAATCAATTAAAGAAAATGTCGGTCGGCAAAGTCGGAAAGATTCGCGATTTTGACGTGAAGTCGGGAAACTGGACTTGTACGAGGAGCGTTTGCAGATGTTCTTCAAGGTAAATAAGGTCGAGAAGGACATGTGGCTTCCGATGCTGATCACGGGCGTGGGAGATGAAACTTATGAACTGCTGAGCACGCTGTGCAATCCAAGAAAACCGGGGGATGTAACGTACGAAGAGGCCGTGATAATTTTGAAAAACCACCTACAACCGAAACCTGCAGTCATGTCGGAACGGTATCGGTTCAGACAAAGAAGACAGAACGAGGGTGAAAGCGTAACACAATATTTGACCGAGTTAAAGAAACTCTCCAAAACGTGTGAGTTTGGTGCAAATTTGGAGGAAAATTTACGTGACCAGTACGTATGCGGAGTGAAGAGTGACATCATCAGACAAAGGTTGTTTGCAGAAGACACATTGACGTACTCAGGAGCAGTCAAATTGGCGGTTGGACTGGAGGCGGCCGAGCGGGATGCGGCAGTCGTAGAACAGAAAGCGACGGCGGAAACATCTACAATCGTAAACACCTGGCGGGCAAGGCGTGGGCGCGGTCGGTTTGCGGAGCAGGCAGCGGAACCACGAACGAACAATGGGCGTGCGATGCGGGACAGCGAGAAAGGCGCCGGGGGCTGCACGGTGTGCGGCGGGCGAGGACACAGCAAGGAGGAGTGCCGCTATAAGTTTTTGTTTGTAGCAAATGCAAACAAAACGGACATTTGAGGCGTGTGTGTCCGCGGACGGAGGCGAACAGTGGCGGGAAGAGGCGCAGAGTAAACCACCTGGACGCCACCACGAGCGACCATCTGAGGGTAGGAGCGGACGAACCCAGCTTCGGACGAATTTGAGGAAGAACTTCATCAACTATGTTTGAGCGGTTACAAACCGGTGAGTTTAACATTACTGATTGATGATAAAACAGTAAAAATGGAGCTAGACACAGGCTCGGCAATTTCATCTATCAGTAAGAAAACATATGATAAACTTTTTAACAATAGAGTAATTAAACCAGTTAATTTAGTGTTAATTTTTTATGATGGTAGCAATATAAGGCCATTAGGAGTGATAAGACCAAAAGTTCAATACAAAGATAAAATAAAACATCTAGAACTGTTTGTGATAGATGGGGGTACAACGTCATTATTGGGCAGGCAATGGTTAATAGAATTGGGTATTAAAATACCTCCTTTTCGACAAGAGATTAACTATAGTGTACCCAAAATGTCTGAGACTGTCGACTGTTTGTTGAACAGGTATAAAGAATTGTTCAGCGAAGGGCTGAGGCGGTACACCGGCGGCAAAGCAACTCTCCGACTGCGGGAGGGTGCGAAGCCGGTGTTTTGCCGCGCGCGACCGCTGCCTTACGCTCTGAGGGCTCAGGTCGACGCGGAGCTGGACGCCATGTTGCGCGCGGGCATCATTGAGCCCGTGGAGTGCTCAGACTGGGCGACGCCTTTGGTACCGGTACGTAAAGCGGACGGAGGGCTCCGTATCTGTGCTGATTACAAAATAACCTTAAATCCAGTCTTACTGGTCGATAGGTATCCGTTACCCAAGACAGATGACTTGTTAGTGAGCTTAAACGGTGCTACACATTCTCATAAATTGATTTGACCCTTGCTTATAACCAGATCGAATTAGATGACACTAAAGATTTGACGGTAATAAACACACATCGGGGTCTTTTTAAGTACAATAGACTTGTGTTTGGGTTGTCTTCTAGTCCGGGCATTTTCCAGCGAATTATGTCGAATTTACTTAGTGACATTCTGGGGGTAGAAGTATTTTTAGATGATATCATCATCGGAACCGTGGGAACACAGGATAATCACTTAAAAACATTAGCAAAGGTGTTCCAGCGGTTACAGAGTCACGGTATGAAGTTAAAATGGAGTAAATGTTTATTTATGGTTGATGAAGTTAAATACTTAGGTTTTATTATATCAAAAGAAGGGGTTAAAGTAGATTCCGATAAAATAAAAGCAATAATAAAAATTCCCAGGCCAAGAAATATCTCAGAGTTGCGTTCCTTTTTAGGTTTAGTTAATTTTTATGCTAAATTTGTTAAGAATATGAGTACTATTTTGTCACCGCTGTATGAACTGTTAAAGAAAAAGGTCGATTGGAGATGGAGTGCGGAATGCGAAAAGACATACAAGGGTAAAAAAAATATTAGTAGGCGCAGAGGTATTAACGCATTATGATCCAAACAAACCGTTAGTGTTGACATGCGACGCGAGCGCGCGGGGCATAGGCGGTGTACTCACACAGCCGGGCGCCGACGGCCGCGACCGCCGGCGCCACGGTGGTATATGTGTCACGTGCGTTGGATAATGCCGAGAAACATTATTCTCAAATAGATCGGGAGGCGTTAGCTATCGTATTTTGTTTACAAAAATTACATCAGTATATGTGTGGTCGACGTTTTGTCTTGCGAACCGACCATAAACCGTTAGTAGGAGTATATTTGGACCAAAACATGGTGTACCAGCCATGGCCGCGAGTAGATTACAACGTTGGGCAATTATTTTATCTGCGTATACATACGATATTGAATATGTAAACACGAAACAAAACGGTGCGGACGGACTGTCGAGACTGCCGGTTCCGTACAGTAGCGATGAGTCACTGCGGGTTCCCGAGCAAACTTATTTACATTTTGCACAGAATGCATTATTATTAGATTATAATACAATTAAACAACAGACGAGGGTAGATCCAATATTAGGTAGGGTTTTAAATTATATTCGTGATATGTGGCCAACAGATAATGATATTCGAGAGTTACAGCCGTATTTTAACCGTCGTAAGGAGTTGTACGAGGAATTAGGCTGCGTAATGTGGGGGCACAGGGTAGTGATTCCTACCAGTAGTCGAGCCAGAGTACTACAGGAATTACACGAACCTCACATGGGCATAGTTAAGACAAAGGCATCAGCTAGGAGTTATATTTGGTATCCGGGCATAGACGAGGCGATTGAGGCTACGTGCAGGGAGTGTGCGGTGTGCGCGGGAGAGGCGGACGCGCCGCAGCGACACACAGTCACGTCGTGGCCTTGGCCTTCTAGACCGTGGGCGAGGGTGCATCTCGGTTTTCTAGGGCCGATTTTCGGAAAAATGTATTTAATTATGGTTAACGCTAGAACTAAATGGTTAGAAGTATTTCCTGTGCCTAGTACGGCGGCTGGTACTACGATTGAAAAGCTTATCGAAGTTTTTTCCAGATGGGGTTTACCGAGACAAATAGTCTCAGATAACGGACCACCGTTCACAAGCAAGGAATTGGCCGACTTTTTGGCAAGTCAGGGAGTTGATCACATTTTTTCTGCTCCGTACCACCCAGCATCGAATGGGGCTGCAGAAAATGCAGTACGTACGGTTAAAAAAATTATAAAAAAAGGTTTTAAACAAAAAGGGAACATTAATTTATTGTCGCTTAAAAAGACCATTTTAATAGTAATGTTATTAATTTATATTAAAAAAATAATAGCTTTTGAAGGCTAATTTTTCTATTTCATTTAAGGGTGTTTTTAATATCGTGCGGATATCATCACGCGTGCGGGATTGCCCCGCATGCGTAAGCCCCGCAAATGTCCTTTTCATAAAAGTATTTATTATAATGCGTGGAATACGGACGCGGGACTATAGACTATCGGGTTTCACGCTGCGTGAAATTTTCTGCATGCGGGGCAATACCGCACGCGTGACGAAATCCGCACGATATTAAAAACACCCTTATAACATTGTAAGATAGACAAGATGTTATGTTAAAGTTATATTTTGTTTATTTTAGTTTTATATAATTTAGGATATGTATTATTTAAGGTGGAGGATTGTAATATATTTAGGTTTACCCACATAAGATTTTATTAAGTAAGATAACGTATAAATAAGCTTACAGAATTGTAACCATCAGTTCGCAATATACGCTTGCTATAAGTAGACGTTGCCTTATTTTTACTCCCGACACTTCACATACATACATATTTATATACTCTTATCATATCAGTGTTACAGCCCCTTTACTTATTATACTCTTTGGCTTACAGCCGTCAGTTCGCCGACGAGCAATAATGTGTTGGTAAATACAGTTTGAAACAGCGCTGAAGGCTCGGTCGATCTCTAGGCTGCCTCGTCGACGAATTCGACGCAGCGTACAGCATAGAAACTGTTTCTTAGAGAATAGCATTGCTGCTCCTATGGAGTCAGTGCACACTAGCATTGCTGGTCATAGCTGGTGGAGTGACCGTATGTGATACAGGTATCTATCGTCTCATATCCCAAACCACCAAAAATTCATTTTTTTTTATTCATAATCATTACGATATTTGTCAAAAAGTCTTCTAACGACTTTCTCTAAATGTTTTTGTGTGAGATTTCGACATCAATTACCTCAGTCAAAAATATGTATGTATTTCATCATAGCTACATTTTGCATGAACGATAGAAATCTGCCATTCCCGTAGCATTGATATAGAGGTTCAATTGTTACATCTGGAATAAACATTATAATTTGCATAAATTATTAAAGTGAGTATCGCATAAGGCATTCTACTCCTCTTACTCCTATTTATATCCAAACCTAGACAGGTAGGCGGTTAGGTTAATTATAGATATAATATAATTAATTATACGACGGATTAGAGATTCGTTGCTATGAATAAAAAGCAGGTAAGTATTAGTGTAAATAAAAATACTCACTTAACCCGGAAGTACAGGAAAACAAATCAACATGGCAATGGTTAACGAAAGTCTTGAATTTGTGTGAATCAATAATTTTATCTGGCTTCTTGATCTTTGCACAGACAGGTTCATACATTTCAGTACAGGAAAGGGGACACGAGTGGTTACAGACCTGAAATCCTCCAGATATAGCATGATCCATTATGCGACGGGTCTGTATTTTTTTTATACCGCAAAGCTCATCGGCTACTTGATTAATTTCTAAAAAAGGAATACCTTTATTATTTTTTACCTTTAACCCCTGGTATGCCGGGAGCGTAGATATACGCAAGACAATGTGTTGTCTATTGTGTCTCATATGCCGGCAGATAAGAGGTTAAATAGAATATAGATTATTTTATTATGAATCTTACAAGTAATGCACAAAAGTTTTTGATGAAACTGTTTTTAGTATCTACTCTAATTAGCTTAATTACAAAAAGACACTGCTCCCCAATACCTTCACTTATCAATTTTAATAAATACAGTAAACATATAAAAGTTACCCCGAAAGTTAACAAAATAACTCGTAAAACAAGACTTCCTCCTCGAATATCGGTACCAATTTGGATACATGGAAATTGTCACATAAAATCTGTCAACAAAGTCGTTTCTCTCTTCGAATCTAATTGAACACTATCCCGCTTGATGTATAAAATATAAAATGTCAATACATTTAACGAACCCATCACAGAACTCAGTTCACACTCCTTTGCCTTCATATAGCAGACATTTTTATATCTCATTATAATCCGAGTACCATCTCTTAACTTCGCCATCCCACATACTTCATCAAAAACATGAGAACATAATATATCAACACAATTTTCTCCTGATGTCGAGATTATCAACAATACTGGAAATAAGATTATTACAATAAATAATATATTATTAATAATAATTATAGATTACTATTTTATACGTAGTATTTAAAAATGTAATTTGTAGAGAATTTTAATAATAAAATTTTTATTCATAATAAAACTGGTCAACATAGGTACAAAAATATCTTAACTAAGCGAGAAGATCTTAAAAATAATATGCCTATACTAGGAATATCCCTGTGTCACAGGCGATAGTAGCTCTAAAAATATGTTAATGGATAAGACAACTTATTTATAGTATATTTAAAATATTTAACACAATTTTCAGAAGTAAGGTAGGATCGTTTAATTTACTACATTACATACATACATACATATAATATACATACATACTGTAACGGTCGAGTATGTTTACATAAAACAAAGACGCTCAATCCGTTAACAAGAGTGTACCTCATTAAAACAAAAAAAAGCAATATCCCAGGGATGGGGTCAAAGGCCGTATGCCGAGTTCTACCTCTCGCCTCTCCGGTAAAGCGGTACTGTCCTGGGTCTTATTCCGTGCCGTCGGCTGGGGGTAGGCAGGCAGGTGAGGTAGGTCCCTGAATGCTGCTTCTGCTACGTGCGACGTCCGCAGATACAAGTCGGATGACGTCCGACGGGCAATTTCGATTCGGAGAATGGAATCGGAGTGTTTGATCGGAGTATTGTATCCGAGTATTGAATCGGAATATTGAATCTGAGCACCGAATCCGAATATTGAATCTGAGCACTGAATCCGAATATTTAACCCTGAAAATAACAGGCGCAATGAGTGATTATTCAGGAGGTGACCATGACCACTCAGTTGCCACGCCCAGGATGATGAAGCGGAAAATAAGCACCTAACTTTACCTGGTAGGCAATGGATGTGGCTGATGGTCACGAGAACCGAGATATAGCAGAAAAAAATGTCTGATATAAAATTAGATAATTAAAATATCGAACAAAGAAATTGTACGATTTACAAAATCAATATGGGGTAGATAGAATTTTATTAATTAGAAAGCCAACTAGTTTACTGATTTGAATTTAAAACTACGTTGATACTTTTTGATCACTAACAACGTACTCAATAATATATAAGCATTAAAAGAAAATTAATGTTCACCACATACCTATAGAAAGAAAAGTACGATACACTATAAAATACACAATTGTTCGCCACTTACCGAATAACGGGTTTTCAATACACTAATATTTAACGTAGTGAAATTTAGCACTAAATAATAATCTGTGCTGCGCTGAGACGAGCGACGAGCACAGTCTATTTTAATTAGACCGGACAAGACCAATAAAACGCGCTGAGAAGAGCTACGTGTGTCCTCTAATAAGTCTGGCTGTCGAATGACGGGTGTCGAACTCCAAATGGCCGGCCGTTACTAAACCGACTGGACGCAGTCAGAATGCGTAACCAAACAATGTTTGTGTTGACCAACTTCTATTAAGTTCTTTATAAATAATAGTTATATATTTTTAATCGATGACCCTTGTAAGAAGTAAGTAATGCTTGTATTGTGTATAATAGTGTTTTTGATTATAATGGTATTAAATTTTATTTTATTTTAATCTATTTTTTTTAATTATTGTAAACACGTGTACAACGTTACAATACATCACGCGTTTTATTCCCTGAAGGAGCATAAAAAGTTGAACCTACGTAATAAAATTAATATAAAATATACATAAAATAAATAATTAAACATCGTAAGCTATATTTATATATAAACTAGATAATATTACATGTTACTATGCTATCAATTATTTTTGAACGTTTGCAGAAACACAAAAAAGCTAGGTCAGAGTCCATACGGTCACTCACTTGTTGTTACTATTAGATAAAATGTGCTTGGACAGCAATAAATTGCTGAGTAAGCCAACCTGTTAATGTGCAATTGTACAACTAACTAAACGAAATGACTAATCGAATTGGATATCCGACTTAGCGTATGTCACTTTATGTGCCTTCATAATCTATAGAATTGATATATCTGTGTTCGGCTATCTTCCTGGCTGGGCACACTGCGTCTCCTGTCTTGAGACTGTTGGGCTAGTTAAAGCGAGTGTATGTTGAACATTTAGGGAAGTCGATTTTCTTCGTGCAAGCGGATGTCATGTGTCCTGTTTCTCCACAATGTCTTTGCCGCGTGGCCATACTGGTAACATTTATAGCAACGCGTTACTAACGTAAAATCTCTGACAGGGCGGCTGCCATTGCAGCGGTAAGTCCCCTCTTTGAGGAGTGGTTTGAGAGACGCTACGGCGTCCTCCCCTACCGCCTGACGCAGGTGCTTACCGGACACGAAAGTTTCGGGAGGTTCCTGTTTCGGATTGGGCGGGAGGAAAAACCCGGGTGTCATCACTGCGAGGACCACCCAGAGGACACGGTGGAGCATACAGTGGCGGTGTGTCCTGCTTGGGGTGGGCATCGCCGTGTCCTAAGAGATGTGATCGGCGACGGCGACCTCTCGCGTCCAGCTTTGGTTCAGGCCATGGTGCGGAGCCAGGGGGTCTGGGATGCCGTCTCCTTCTTCTGCGAAGCAGTCATGCTAGCCAAAGAGGAGGCTGAGCGCGTGAGGGAACACACCTCCTCACGCCCCAGCCGTCGCGGATGACACTCCGGGCGTCGGGGATCGCGGAACGATCTCCGGCCACCGTAGGTGCGGGTCTGCGGACGGTGAGCAAGGGTAGCTCGCCGCCCGACCAGAACCAGACCCAGTGCGTACGGCGCGTCGCGTTCCGCGCACGTCTCAGTAGGGCTGATGCCCGATACGAAGCCGCGGAAGGCCTAACGGGTTGCCGGGGCTCCGGCTCGAAGAGCAGGAATAGGAACGGAATGGTTTTTAGTCAGTAAGAGTCTGACACTCCCTCTCGCCAACCCAAGGCGGGAGATGTCAATGGATGATTTTCCCTCTTTAAAAAAGAAAGGGTTTCCTCACGATAATCTTAGAAAGTAGGTACATATAACTCGGAAAAGTCACATTGGTACTTGCCGTTGGTAGAATTCGAACACGCACCCTCATGTATGAAAAGCGGACTTGCTCTCGGTCTTAAACCTCCGGGCCACTACGACATCCCATTATTTAACTTACTTAACATTTAGTTAAGGAATATAGACTCTGACTGTACAGTTTGCTGAATCGTGGATAGGTATACAATTATTACTTACTCATTATCAAAATATTTCTTAAACTATTTATCATTTTTGAAATTCGTTTTTGATCAATTACTACATCAGCATTCTGAACAGAGTCGGCACGTGGCCGCGAGCTAACTTGTTATTGGAATTACTTTTTAATGCGTTATAAAAATTAATTAAATTCGCAATTCGTCCGCGTGATAACGCATTTATCTTTGGATGGGAATTTTGGGGACGGGGTTTTGTGTCGTTAGTGTGTTTTTATTTACAGTAGGAAATTATTCTGTCGTATGGAGTGGATTACAATGAACAAGGACGCGTTTTTTTATTTATTTATTTACCTTCTTGCAATTGTATACAATAGTGGACTTAATGCCTAGTGGCATTCTCTAACAGTCAACCGTAAGGTGATGCAGAGAGACACAATAGTAGGTGTAAAAGGTTAATACTGTTGTGAGTTTTGAACATAAATTGATATGGCAGTATATATAATTATACATATCACACAATCTATCTATATACTTATAATAAATCTGTAGAGAGGTCAATTCTGTACATAAAATATATTTAAAAAATAACTATCAAGGGGTGGTTAGGGATCGCTACTGATGCCAAAAATTCAATCAGTAAAATTTTTGTCTGTCTGTCTGTCTGTTTGTATGTTCGTTATGGAAACAAAAACTACTCAACGGATTTTAACAAAAAATGGCACAATTATTCTTCATACTCTTGGGCAGGTTATAGTATACCTTTCATTACGCTACGATCAATAGGAGCAGAGCAGTGAAAGGAAATATTGGGAAAACGGGAGTAGTTACTCCATTTTTTAAGCTTCCGTCGCGTGTGCAGGCTTATAGGTTAAAGCTACATAGAAATCATGTATGACGGAAATATTCTCCTTAAAATTATAAAAAAATACCGACCTATTTACAAGAAAATGAAGTTTAAGAGTGACAGCTAAAAAGAAGCAAATATTACAACGAATGTCACTGTCAACGGTCGGTAGAGGAGGGTGGACGGGAAGGTGTGTTGTCAACTACGTGCCGACTTCACCGCGTTCCAATATTTAATCAGTTCCAAGTAATTACTGTTTATTTTAAGTTGAATTATTGTGAGACCTGCTTTATTAAACCAAGAGATTATAAACCGAGGGTTATTTCACGGATTGCAATGGAAGACAGCCCACCCTTAAATGAACGCCCACGCACCGCTTCTACATATATATAATTGTAAGTGTGAGGTAGCTTCAGTTACCGTCGATTAAAAATACACAATGCCACCTAAAAAACGACCATCTTTATCTCGAAATTCGAGAGATGCTTAAAGGATTAGAAATGCACGTTCTCAAGAATCGGCAGAGGAAAGAGCACATCGATTAAACTCTATGAGAGTTAGTGCCTCAACCTCTCGAGCTAATGAAAGCTCTCCAGAGAGAGATGCGATTAGCAGCTGATTGAGCGAGACGAGCTACATCACGGGCGTCTCAAAGCTCTTCTCAACGAGAGCTGAGGCTTACCATTGACCGAGAACAACATGTGTTATCCCGAGATGCTGAAACTGCGTCACGTTGTGACGACGAATTGCGTCTCACTGCCGACCGCGAAAGGCATACATTGTCTCGCGAATCAGAAACCTACACTGAGAGGGAATTGCGTCTCACTGCTGACCGCGAACGTCATATATTGTTTCGCGAGTCAGAAATCTACTCTGAGAGGGAATTGCGTCTCACTGCTGACCGCGAACGTCATATATTGTCTCGCGAGTCAGAAACCTGCACTGAGAGGAAATTGCGTCTCACTGCTGACCGCGAACGTCATATTTTATCTCGAGATTCTGAAATTTTTACTCAATATGAAGACCGTTTGACAAATGATAGGATGCACCATAATATTATTCGATCTCTCGAAGACGAACATAAGCATGAACAACGACTAGAGTCGGTACGCGAATATTACAATTCTTTGAGACAAGAACGATTAGTAAGTATTTATTCATTTATTTGCGTACCATAAAGTGATTAAGGTGTTACAATAGGCTTAAAGCTAAGTACATTTATGGACCCTGTAAGGGCACAGCAACATTTGTTATGATAAAGATAAAGATAATTAAAGTCAAAATAAAAATGATAATTACTAAAATAAAATGTCATATTTAAATTCTTGGTAAGTCCAATAATTACAATGATACCTAAATCAAATTTAAACAATCATAATTAAATTAAAATAATCAAAATCAAATTTAAATAATTAAAATCAAATTACAATAACGAAAATCAAATTAAAACAATCAATAGGTATGATAAGTCAAGTTCAAAGAAAAGTCAACAAACATTAAAACAAAACTCATCCATAACAAACAATGTCACATCAATAATATAATATAATTCAAGTAGCAGGTACTCTAAAAATTATTGCATTTTGTCATTCATGTATTCATCTATTGTATAATACCCTCTGTCTAATAGAAATAGCTTTAATTTATTTGTAAATATGTTATGTTTGTTAATATTCTTCAAGTGTTCCGGTAGTTTATTATATACCTTTATTGACATTACATGTGTACCTGACGAATGCATTTTAAGTCGTGAAATTGGCATGTTTATTCTGTTTCTATGTCTTAGAGTGAATCTGTTCTGTATTTCTTCTCGTTTTGTGTAGAATTCAGGATATTGGCGTACAAATTTACAAATTTCAAATATATAAAGACAAGGCAAAGTCAACACCTCCAGTTGTCTAAAGTGTTTTTTGGATGGTGAATAATGAGGGTGCATCGGTACTATTCCCCCATAAAATGACACCATATTTTAGCCATGCATAAGCGTACGCGTAATACGTGACTAGGGCTGTTTTAAGGTCTGTAGTTTTTTTAATTTCGCGAAGAGCATATGCAAACTTTGATAATTTCATCCTCAGTTTTTGGACATGAGATTTCCAATCAAAGTGTGAATCTATATCCAAGCCTAACAAAGTGAACCTACTGACTGTTTCAAGTTTGAAGTCCTTATAAATAAAATTTAAATTCAACGGTAATTTTGTCTAGTGAAAGATTAAGAATCGAAAATATTCGGTCTCTTGAAACGGACGAACAGCGAGAGGCCCGTCTTACTGCAGACGGATTTCGACATAGCCTTAATAACTTAGATGTACACACGGAAGATCAATCTAGAAATTCGGTGGCGTGGTACAACAAATATAAAAGTGGGTTTGCTTATAACCTCACAATTGATTACGGATCATCTTCTGTAATAGGCGATAATTATGAACGTGGTATGTCGTTTTTGTAATGCTTCAAAGTGGAGTAAGGAGTCAGCTGGTTTCTGTTGTTCTGCAGGTAAAATAAATTTGCCTTCATTCGAAGACCCGCCGGAAACCTTTGAAATCACTACTTTTAGGGGAACATATACAATCTAAACAGTTTTTAGATAATATTCGCGCTTATAATAGTGCATTTCAAATGACATCCTTTGGCGCTCAACAAATCTCAGAAGGTCCTTTCATGCCTACTTTTAAGATACAAGGTCAGGTTTACCATTTGATAGGATCCCTTTTGCCTGAAGACCAACCTAAGTTTCTTCAAATATATTTTGTATCCGACTACAACGAACAGTCGAATATAAGAAATATGTATGCAGTTTTAAATCTGCATTAGAAGCTCTTCCTCGAGATGATGATAACAATTATAAAATTGTTATAAATGCCGATAGGCGTCCAAATCAGGAACACCCTGGGCGTTATAATTCTCCATCCACGAATGAAGTTGCTGTGGTATTGGTCGACCAGGAATGTGATAGGCGTGATATCGTTATCCGTTCCAGAGACAATCGTTTGCAACATATTTATGAAACCCACAGGGCTTACGACAGTTTGCAATATCCTTTGATATACTGTCGAGGGGACGATGGTTATAATTTTGCTTTATACCAAACTGATCCGCGTACAGGCGCACCTAATTATTAAAAAGATTTCATGCCTTCAATTTTACTGTTACCACTTGCAAGTAAGACGGAATAGGTTTGTATACTTTCAACGTTTTCGTGGCTTATTCAATCAGTTTATTGTAGACATGTACGCAAAAATTGAAACCGAAAGATTAATTTATATACGATCTAATCAAAGACAGCTGCGCGCTGAAGAATACGTGCACCTTCGCGACGCCATACAGCAAGATAACGATACGGTGAATACGGGTCGTTTAGTTATTTTGCCCTCTTCTTTTACTGGTGGTCTACGATACATGCACGAACGTACTCAAGATGCTTTTTGTTACGTAAGAAAATATGGACGTGCCGACTTATTTATTACTGTAACTACCAATCCTAAGTGGGATGAAATTACTCGGGAGCTTCTTGAGGGTCAAGCACCGCATGACCGCCATGATATCATAGCAAGAGTTTTTCATTTAAAATTAAAATCAATGATAGATCTACTTACCAAAGATAACATTTTTGGAGAAGTATTGTGTTATATGTATAGTATTGAATGGCAAAAACGCGGCTTACCTCACGCACATATCCTGCTTTGGTTAAAAGATAAGGTTCGACCTAATGATGTAGACAGTTTAATCAGTGCTGAAATTCCAAGTCCGATAGCAGGTCCCGTGTTATACGACATTGTTAAAACTCATATGATACATGGTCCATGTGGTGCATTTAACGGGAATTCTCCTTGCATGCAAGACGGTCGTTGCACTAAAAGATATACAAAAGCCTTAGTGGATGACACTGTAACAGGACATGATGGATACCCATTATATCGTCGCCTTTCAAGAGACAATGGTGGTTTTACTGTTGAAAAGCGAGTGTCTGGACAACAAGTTACTTTAGATAATAGGTGGGTCGTTCCGTATTCTCCTGTGTTGTCCAGAGCATTTCAAGCTCACATAATGTTGAAATGTGTAATAGTGTAGTCAATAAAATATATTTGTAAGTATAAGGAATAATTGTTGATAAGGGCTCGATGAGCTTGCTTATCATAACTAGGAGACAGCGGGGCATGAGATTTAGGTTTTAAAAAGACAGTTTTACGTAAAGATTTGGGAGTTTGGGAAGTATTATAGTTCTGTTGAGGCAGTTTGGGTTTAGGCTGATTAAAAGATTTTGAAACCTCTGCATATGACCTCTTGATGGTGGGAAAGACCTGACTCGCTTCTGCATACGAAATCGATTTTTCCGCCATGAGAGCCTTTATGCTCTTCTGACGGCCTAGCTCAGGGCATACATTGCTACTGGCAAAGTGATTACCATGACAGTTTACACAGGTTGCAATCTCCTCTGAAACCAGGCATCCATCACCAGGATGGTCCTGGCCACATCTGAAGCAACGAGGCTTTGAGCGGCATAAGGTACGTGTGTGCCCAAAGCGGCAGCAGATAAAACATTGTAGGTATTGTGGGATATGTGTATCTTTCTACTGTAAGAGCAGTGTATAAACAGTAAACTCGTTTTGGCAAAATTTGCCCATCAAATGTGAGAACCACCGTGTAGGTCTCCACTCTGAACCATCAGAAGAAACCACTTTCCGATTCATTCTCCTTGCCTTGATAACATTGCCACATCCAGAAGGGACCCTGATATTTTCGACAATTTCCTCCTCAGTCCAGTCCACAGGGACATCTCTCACAATACCCATACGTGTGATGTTAAACAGTGGAATGGATGTTATGTAATTTTGTTGGGCTACGACTTCATTGATTAAAAAGTTGTTAGCGTCTTGGTGTGACTTAAATTCCACTGAAATTTTGTTTCGTCCTAATCTTTTGACACCATCCATCCGTACATTTTTATGTTGTTCTTCATCAAGAACATGCCAAATTTCACAGGGTGTAGGGTTGTGCCTGAGGTTTGAGAATCTCTCAAAGAAACATGAACAATATACGGAGGAGCGTCATTGGGTGTGTAGCACTGTCTACCGTTAACTTTTGCCACTTTGGGTGGGTTATTTATAGTAACTGGGGGAGAATGTGCAGGTCTTTTCCTATTTAAACTATTGTCAGCATCATCGGTGTTGGGGACGGTGATAGTCATTAGAGGGGTGTACTCAAACATATTATCTAGAGGGTCGGGAGGTTTTTTAGTAGGTACCCATATTAAAAAGTGCAGATGCACCGAAAAAAATATATAATTAAAGAAAAAGAGTATTAGGGAATATTTTGCCCACGTTACCAATAGTTTTTTAATGTATCACAACACTAAGATGGCTTCGACTTAGATTTCAAAAAAAAACAATATTTAATTCGAAAAAAATAACACACACAAACACGTATGTCTTTCACCACTGCCAAGATAAAGCTCATCTCTATTATTGCAGTTGAGGTTGAGGATACCTCCGCCGCCGATCATGTGAACGTGGATGATGTTTGTCTGACACACAATGGTTAGGAGGAACCACAGACCTCTACATTTTTCGGAAATGTATATGACAAATCTTCTTATGACATAAGAAACTTCGTGAACATAATAGGTATCTATACTTCTATACTCTATACCAATATTATAAAGAGGAAAGATTTGTACCTATTTTTGTATGTTTGTAATGAATAGGCTCAAAAAGTACTGGACCGATTTAAAAAATTCTTTCACCTATAGAATGCTACATTCTTCCAATTTGACATAGGCTATACTTCATTTTGAAAAAAATTAGGGTTCCTTAGTAAAATTTCAACAATGTAACCGAAGGTGTAGAAAAATGAGTTTCAAAATGTCTTTCGTCGAATGCGCTGCCGAAACTATTAGCAATAGAACAAAATAATGTACAACAATATTGAAGAACATCATAATATCTACAAAAAACTCCGCAGTAACATATGTCCAACTATTGTAGTTATGTCACTACAACAATCCAAATTTCCAAAAATAAATAATTGTCTACCCCGTGTGAAGCCGGGACGGGCTGCTAGTAAGTGATAAAGAGAAACGTCAAATTCGCTGTTACAATCTTCAGGGCCTTTTCCAACAGACATCAACCAGAACAATAGGTGTTTTTCAAAATCATACTACGTTTCGTGTTCTAAATATGAGTCAGTAAATTTTCATTCGTATCCAACTTTACTACAAAAGTTTGACGATTCCCAAAGAAAATATTTATATATCATAGGCCCTAGTTTCTCACTTCAATTTATTAATATTTTCCACCTAAATTTACCTCAACTACATCAAACTATCAAACATGCGCTGTAAGGAAATAATGAGCAAATATGGAGTGGTAGAATGCGACCTAATGGAAGTATTTACAGCAATGTTATTATTCTTTACAATTCCTGTTACTTCTGCAGCAGCTGAAAGGACATTTTAAAAACTTATTTAAGCAATAATATGGGCTCTAAACTCGACTCCAACATTTATCGCTAATAGCAATTGATAACAAAATTGCATCAAGCCTGGACTTAAACGAACTCATTGATACTTTTGCGAAAACTAAAGCTTGTAAATATAGTTATTGTTATTTAGTCAGTTGGTACCTTTATATAATTGTTGGTTGGTTGACCTTTATATAAAAAACTCTTGAATTTCTGTATTTCGTTTTATTAGCCAAACCTTACAACAAGTATTTAATTGTAATTAAATTTAATTTAATTGTAATTGTAATTAATTTAATTAAAAAAGGTTGTTACTGATTAATATGTTTATTACCTGGCTAGCAGTGCAAAAAAGAACTTAAGCTGCTTAATTTACATAGCAGTGGGGGCCCATTTTTTACTTTGCCCCAGGGCCCTTAGCTACCTAGCTACGCCACTGACTACAGAGTCTTTATTATAACATAATATAAAATGTTTATCATAACATAATTATAGGTGCTATTATACATTTTCTTTCCTTTACATTATTTTTAATCTAAATAAATGTTATTTACGGACTATTAAATAATTAATTATTTCAAAATAAACCCTCCATGTAGAAGTACACCGCATCCCATTGTAATCTTATTTATAAAAATCAGCAATTACGTCCACAAAAAAACAATTTCAGATAAAATCAATTTTACAGGGTTCTGTCAAACAATGAAATACTAAATTGAAACCGACGATAAACATTTAATCACGACGATATGATGTGTACAACAGCGTGAAGTATGAATACGCTGTTGTAAGGATCTGAAACAATAATTTTTATTTAACCATTTGTCCGCTTAAAAGATCAACGGTTTAAGGCCGTTTTGACCATTCTAAATTGTAAGGTATTCCTAAGCCTTTAGGTTTTTACCAACCTACAAAGTAACACCTAACAGTACAAGTTAGGTGCTACGTCATGCTCAGTAACTTTTACTTAAGAGATGGTTTCGGGGTAGGTGTAAACAGCCACTAGTCTGCTACTACAATACTTAGTTGCAAAATTGGATTGCTGATTTTGACATGATTTGTTCGGTAGACTCCGAACATGTATAACGACGTCGCAAACACGTCACTACCACCACTACATTGAAAAAATGACATAAAACATTACGCCCAAATACTGAAAGACTCAATATTATGTTGTACTTAAATATGTGCCATCTCTGTCATTTTACAATTATTTATTAATTTATTTATTTAGAAAATTTACATATATAACACTACAGCTACTACTACGCCATTAAGTTATACTGTTAATCTTATATAAATACTATTATTTAGGTACTTAAAAACAAACTAATTAGGTAGGTAATTAAATATACGAAATAAAAATTAACACAATTCAGAAACAAAATTAACAAAAAACTAACATAATATAACACGTAACATAACATCACGCCTGTTATGCCCGAAGGGGTAGACAGAGGTGCACATTACGGCACTTAATGCCACTGTACAATGTAGCACCCACTTTTCACTATTTATGTTATGAGTCCCATGTAATAGGGGGTGAGCCTATTGCCATATACCGGGCACATTTCCAGACTCCGTGCTACTACCGATATTTTTATAAAACCAAGTAATACTTTGCCCGACCCGGGATTCGAACCCGAGACCCCTTGCTCAGCATTCGCACTTGCAACCACTCGGCCAACGAGGCAGTCAGTAACAAAAAACTATACAATTGAATAACAAAATTAGTAATTATAATAATTGTAACTTGAAATAAACATTATAATTTGCTGCGTATCATCCATCCTCTCACAAAATCTTAGACTTCACGAGACACATCTATCCATCTCATTGCAAATAAATCACACTCTAGTGCTGACATCAGGAGAGAATTGAGCATGGTGAGTACTCGGACCAGCGGAGAATTTGCATGGGCCACTGCATGTGCTTCTAGTACAGCCAATAAGGGATGTTGACGCGGTCGAAGTTGGTATGTGAGCAGCCTCGGTACTGACAACCGCGCCACCTGACCTCTCTGGACAATCAGATTCACCTCGCAGCGTCTTATAACTCAATTAATTTGTAGTAGTAGCATTTAAGTATTTGGAGATTAATCTCGTACATATCTAATAACCATGAAGCAAATACAGGTCATTATGTACTGAACCAGATATACCTACCCTAAACTCTCAATCTAATTAATGAAGTTAAAATAATTACTATTATCATTATGTACGAATAAATCAATTCAATTTTTAGTTCTATCTCATGCATTACCTATATATCTTGATTTCCCTTCCCTTAAATCATTACAGTTTGCTAAGAAATCCGTAGGGAACACCTATTAGATCATCAAATCTGAAAAAATCTTATTAGATATTTGGATAACCTCAGTAGATACTATAAAGGAAACGTTTCATTATTTATAACGAGCTAACGTCAACATATTTGAACAATAACAAAATAAACTGTATCAACCACAAGGATAGCAATATTCGCAAAAAAGGAACACTCGTACAAGCAAAAATACCTGTCATTTACAACAAAAAGGTGGGTAACTGCCGTAAACAATTCCGCTGTATTGCTTTATTTTCGTGAAAAATAGTATCAAAGGGAATACTCACTGAACTATATGTAATCATTGTGATAGCGCGAAATTTGAGAGCTGTGAAGTACAAAGGCCTCTGTGACCTGCAAACAAAACTCACTTTACCATTCGAAATTTCGTACCTACGCAGAATAAACCACAAAGTTTCCTGTACCTAAGTGTAGACATACATCGACGAGTACTTCAACTATTTTGGACAGAAGTTAAAAAAAAACTTGTGTAATACACATTAAAAATATTGTTTAAGTCGAACGGTTTTTATGAACTCCATTCTACTAATCAAGCTCTCGTTTGACATTCATAATGGAGGTAGTTGTGGTAAAAATTAGATTATAATATTGCAATGGTCATCCATATTAAGAGTGTGTACCAAAAACAGATCGATCTGTCATCATATGGACTACTGGCCATAAAGTGCTGGGTCGTGATGGCAGTTTGGTGCAATTCTTTCTAATAGCATATAAAAATATTACTTACGCCGTCACCTTTCACCAAATCATTCCTTACCAGTACCAGTACCAGTAGTTTATAGTTGATAAAAAATCATTCTAAATGTACATTCTTAACGATATTTACAATATAGATACAACACTAATGCATTCATCTCACTTCACTCTACTCATTTATAATAGGTAGATAAAGTCAGATAAAGTATACGTCATGAAATAGTACCCATTTAGTTTACAAGTGCTGAATACGTGCGTCATAAAGTTAATAAACAAATAAGGCTACTGGCAATATAAAGTCAAAGAGCGAACCGTTGAAGTACGACGAGCATCGCGCGCCTGCATCTCGTGTTGCTTTTGTACCACCCGCTCTCATACACCGCGTCTGCTACACCTACGCTCTGTGAGTTACATTGAAAATACAAAATTATTCTCTGCCTTCTTATTACATACATACTTGAAACGGGCTAGAATTTAAAGATTCATGATATTTAATAATATAAATGTAATAAAAGTACGGATGCAGTATGTTTTACTCTAAACGCAAAAAGTTATGAACGGATCTTAATGAGGCACATAATACTAGAGTTGCTCCGTGTGGGAATCGACCCGCTACATGTTGCGCGGCATCCGGTAACCTAGCCAACACGCCAATCATGCAAACACATTCATCTATTCATCTATATATATAAAAGAAAGTCGTGTTCGTTACACTATTTATAACTCAAGAACGCCTCAATCGATTTAGATGAAAATTGGCAGGGAGGTAGCTTAGAACCAGGAGACGGACATAGGATACTTTTTATAGAATACTTTTTATCGAAAATCACGAACGGGAACGGGGGCAAAATGGGATTTCGCGTACGAAGTCGCGGGCAGAAGCTAGTTGTCTAATATCTAAAACAAACTTTTTTGTCCCCTCCCCAATTTCCCCAATCCCCGATTCCCCGAATCCCCAATCCAAAAATTCTGATTACCAAAGGGCATAGCACTTGTAACGCCTTCTAACAAATTGTACTTATTATTATTTTGTACTATGACTTTTTTGTGACTGCAGCGTTGACCGAGTTGTCGCAAGTGCGACTACCGGGCCCGACCTGGGACCTCTTTCCCAGGTCGGACAAAGTATCACTGGATTTAATATAGAAATTTCAGTAGTTGCACGGAGTTTGGAAATGTGCCCCATATATGGCAATAAGCTCACCCCCTATTACATGGGACTCATGACATAAATAATGAAAAGTGGGTGTTACATTGTACAGTGGCATTAAGTGTCGTAATGTGCACCTCTGCCTTGCCCTTCGGGGATAAAAGGCGTCATGTTAAAAAAATATATTATTTTGTACTAGCTGTCGCCCGCAACTGCGTTCACGTAGAATATGATTCCTGTTTTATCCCATGGGAGCATTATTCGGGATAAAAAGTCTAAGTCAGCCCATACCCTGCCTCTATACCAAGTTTTAACAAAATTCGTTCAGTAGTTTCAGCGTGATTGGCGGACCAACATCCAAACAAAGAAACGTCCACATTCATAATATTAGTGTGATACTTACAGCTCTATATATATCATCGGCGTACCAGCATACAATGAATATTTGCGTCAAAGCAGCTCCAAGATAGAACTTGTTACTCATTTCCATCCACGAATCTAAAAACTATAAACGAAATAAACAAACAAAGTCAATAATTACGAAAATAATATAGTGTCTGGTATTTTAATAAAAAGGAATACTTACCACAATAGTGAACATAACGCAGCAAATGTTAACGGAACTTAACAATACGTTGATTAGATTTACTACCGAAAAAGCATCCTCCAAATCTTTGATGTACCTGAAGTGTCCATACATAAAACTATTAGTTAGACCTTCACACTGTTTAACTCACTTGAGGAATATGTAACAACAGGGATGATTTGGGGAAAATTTAATTAGTTTATCAGCCCACCTGATGACGTGACGTGGTAATAAGAAAATATTAGACACGTATTTTTTTATTCTGTCATACAAGTAACACAATACTTAGATGAAACGAATCAGTTTAGGAGTGGGAGCGAAAACGTCATTTCTACGTAAAAAACGTACCAACTTCTAGGTAGAAGTGATATAACGCGATATTTCAAATCAATATATCGTTGAAAATATTTGTTGCTGTAAGAAAATAAAAATACGTGTCTAATGTTTTAAAATAATCTACCAGATGGAAAATTAGTCATCTTGAATTTATACAGAGTATAAAGTTTTTGTGGAAAAAATTTCTAGATGTTTATGTATCTAAAAACAACGTCGAACACACCTGATAAGTCGTTGATGTATTTTAACGACTTCAACAATATCCTTATAGCAATCATTGCACCTTGTGTCAAAAGGGTCTTTACTTTCCACTGTACCGAGCCGACGAATTTGATTCTGTAGTAGACGGAGCAGCATACTGATGTGACTAGCCATCGTCATGAATAATAAGTCCGAACCGAGCATACAGCACACTGATATACAACCTACAAAATACTATTATTGAAATGTAAACAATCTTGTAATTATGTCGGTTTTAAATATTTTTTGCGTACACATATTGAGTCAGTAGCTTTTCAATTTCTTGGTACCTTCGAAACCTAATTTTTAAATAACCTATACAGAATATAGTACAGAAATCAGTTCAGGTTTACAAAAAACTTGGCAAAATGCGTACAATACAATTACAATCTCCCACTACTTCGTAGAAACGTGATTTAATACTTCCATTATGTAAGTACGATGCTTTTAAAAGCATTCAAACTGTGAAAGCATTGAAAAAACAGTAAAAATCGAGAGGAAAATTTGTACAATATAACGAGATAATGTTTTCTCGTAATTACCTGTTAATTACTATTGCATAGAAATATCATTACCCTTACAATATGAGTACATAACAACTGTAAAAGACAAACCAGCGCATGTTTCAAAGATATACACGATGCCGTGGACTGCGGGCTTGGTTTTATCAAAGGGATACGCCATCTGCCACACGTAGCCAAGAGCCGCAGACATACCACGCAGTTTACGGTACAGGAGCACGGCAATCGGTGTCAAATTATACAACCACACACCCAAGATATTCCAAAAGGCATACACTGAAAAAGATCGATTATGTTTAAAATAAAAGCAAAACTTCAGTGGTTAGGTCAAACTAAAATTAGAAATGAACACTGTTTGAACTACATTAAACCTTTTTTTCTGTCACTATATGAGACAATAGAAAACGCATTGTTTCGCGTAGATCTATGCTCCGACATACCAGGGGTTAAGTTAAATTTTTAATCGCCTGGCAGGGGAATACAAAACCTTTCTTTCCTAGCAGTAAATGTGTGCATGTGCAGCAGATAAATAACGGAAGCTATCAAAGTTCAAGTGACTTACAGAACTGTCTATGCTTAAGTGTTGAGAGACTGTTTCGTTTTATCTCGACTCCGTCCCTGTATCTGATAGAGACTGGCCATATTTCTGCCAGCTCTACTACCAGATGTCTGAACGTGTGCCTCTTGTACCAAATTGTTATCAATTTTCCGAAACCTGAAATGCACATCCGATATTCTAATTTAATTGCCTAATCACAAGTTGAAACTACCTACCTAAGTACATGAACAATAGGGTAGTTTCCAATATTTTATTTTAATGTCCGTCTGGTAGATTAAATTAAAACATTAAATACGTATTTTTTCTTATCTTACAAAATTAAATACTTTCGATGATATAATAGTTTGAAATATCGTGTGACGTCACAACGTGCTACATTTTGTAGCACGCTCTGACGTAATGAGCCCCCACTCTTAACTCGTCGAGTACCGGTTTTGTAGACACAATTATAGAACAATAGGTTGCGGTCACCGGTGACCGCTTGGTGTTTGACAGTTTAAACCTAATTCAATTTTATTTAAGTATTGTAACTTCATATAAGAAAATAAAAAATACGGATCCAATATTTTATCATTATCTAACTGACGGACTAATTAGATTTTTAATTTTCATACCCTGGTAACTACCCTATTTCAGATATTTTAAAAAATACCTATTATATCGTAGGTAGTGCACCTTAAAGTTTGTATTATGCTTACTCCTCTTTGATTAAACTTGTTACAAAGAAGCAGAATACAATACACCTACGAACAAAATACGTAGGTATGTATGACGCCAGCTCTAACTAGAGGTATAAACCTAAAGCCTGTATTTCGAACGTCCCAATTTTACGACGGTCATCTGCCCCCTTACACCTTAAATATTACTCGCTCATTCCGTCTGACTTTGAGCACTCGTCCTGTCCGGGCTCTTAACAAATGTGCCATTCAAATGAAGTATGGCAACCAACGATTTTCTCTTGCTTTCTCTGTAAGTAATTTGGACTGCTAATCTCATGTTATGTATGTAGGTACATTAAGCGAACCATACAACGTTATTAATACATAACATATAATACGTTATTAATACCTACATCAACGTTGACATGCTAATTACACCCATCTATGATTATAATGTACTGTTATTGCATATATTAGGTATACTCACTCATTGTATCATATCCAGCGATGTGTAAATAACTACCGACAAATTCCTCCACGGAGGCGGTATTAATCATCTGGCCGGCGACATACGCTATCTCACCTGCCAGCATCAGAACCAATAACGATGACGCCATTATGAACAATAGATATGAAGTAAAACTTTGGAAGAAAGTTTTTGGTATATCTATAAAAGATAGCCCGATATTGCGTACACAAAAATTGCAAAGATTTAGCGTTTCATGAATCTCTTTGCGAGCAACGTTTCTACCTTCTTCGGACATTTTGAAACAGGTTTCAAGACGAACGGAAAAGTACTGTGACGGTATTACAATAGATAATCATTTTTATATGTACTTAAATGTTAAATTATTAACAAAACTATCTACGTATTATGTAATGGAAAAATCAGTACCAGTACAACGTATATTAGCGACCTTCAAAGTTCGTAATAACCAGGTAGAACGTTCTTTGGAAAGTTTTTCTGTCATTCCCAAATCTCAATCTTGAAAACATTTTTTCCTCACCAACTTTCTTTCATTTACCTTCCAGAAGTAATTTGTATATAAATTATTCTATTAAAGGAAGACGCGTAATCAGGTTAATCGAATATGTGTACACATATTTATACTTATGTACCAACTACCTATCACACTGAATTTTACCTAAAATTCAGATGTTATCTATGTATACCTCGATGTTTGGCCAGTATCTCGCCTGAAAGTAAGCGATGCTGCGGCCTACGACGGGGCATGTCCACGTCTGCCCATAAACAACCTATTCACTCGTGTAAAGAATTTCACTCCTTAGCAGTTCGTACAAGGAAGCTTGAAGCGAAGTGCTTCGTGCGAGTAGGTGGGATATCCACTATGGAGTGGTGGCGTTTCACCGATTGTCTTGCGGTACGTAGACGATACAATGATGGAAAGGACTAAAGAGAATCGAGTTGTGGCAATTTTTACACACACTCATCGAAATTTATTATCCGGGAAAGGCAAATGTACACACATAAACAATAGGAGGGTACAAAACATCACGCTACGATCGATAGGAACTAGCTTATGATATAATTTACACAAAATCAGGCCTTTTATCCCCGGAGGGGTAGGCAGAGTGTGCACCTCTGCACTTACGGCACTTATGCCACTGTACAATGTAACACCCACTTTTCCCAATTTATGATATGAGTCCCCTGTAAAGGGGTGAGCCTATTGCCATATACCGAGCACAATTCCAGGCTCCGTGCTAATAGTCAGAATTTTTTAAAAACTCAGTAATACTTTGCCCGGCCCGGGAATCGAAGCCGAGACCCCTTGCCCGGCAGTCGCAAAGTCAATATTATAAATAAAACAAATCCTACTAATATTATAAATGCGAAAGTTTGTGGCGATGTATATCTGTGTATGTTTGTTACTATTTGACGCTATAACGGCTGAATCGAGATAAAATTTAAAACAAGGATATGTTATGGTCTAAATTAACACATCGGCCACTTTCTATACCACGGGATCGCGACCGAAGTCGCTGGGAGAAGCTAGTACCTAAAACATAATAAATAAACAAACACTTACCTACTGACGTGATAGGAGGTATAACTATAAACCAATTTCCATTTCAGTGTTACACTCTGCTTGATTCCTGCTTAATTATTCCAATTACGCCACAAACGATGTCAACTTCAATCATTGAATTCATCATGTGTAATAGCGACCAAATAACTTGATCTGCAACGGTAATATGCCGCCTGTAGAATCCCCTAAACTATCGGGGGTCGCTATACACTGGTAAATTGCGGAGATGTGATTAAAACGTGACTCGAAAACAATGCAATTAGTTTGGAACGCGCATATTCTATTAATTTTACTTTCATTATAGCAGTAGATACCGGCCATGAAAATACAATGGTCAAAACCAAGTACCGTAACACGGGGTAAATACAATTCGAGGGGTGAATAGATATAGAAGAGGGGTGAATAAATGTAGGGAAAATATTCTAACATTTATTCACCCCATTCCTGTATCTATTCACCCCTCGAATTCTATTCACCCCGTTTTACCTCGATAGTAGAAAACTATCTGAACTCATTATTTTTATCACTTCAAAGAGATCATTTTTTTTTTAAATATCGGTAAAAAGGTTGTCTCCCCGCTAAACGGTTTCCAAAACGCATTCCAAGAAAATAAAATAGCTAAATGTATTTGACGTCCATTACAAGTAATCCCTATTAAATCGTTCCACGCGAAATAAATGGGACTTCTATCCAAGCGACAATTAAACTGTCAGTTTCAATAAAATTATTATTTATGTAAAGACTCTTATAACATTATTATTCTTCTTAATTATTGCTTTATAAAAAAATGTCCTTGATTGTTTAATTTTATTTTATATTGCTCACTCTCCTACTTTTACCTAACGCATGCTGAAAAACTCTGTTATTGGCTTAAGTTTCCATGCCTTGTCATTATTATAGATGTAGCATTTACTAAATAAGCTGTTGAGTTTTCTGTAATAAAAATAAATAAATAAATAAATAAATA